AAGTGCCAAATGTGCGCTTCAGTGGGAACGAAAGGGGAGGGGCAAAAATGAAGAACTAGGTGTGTAAATCACCAAATACCCCCTTCTCAGCCAACGATCCTTTATGCCTCTGGTTTCTCTTGACAATTTGCCTTCTGCAAGCTGTCTAGACGAGGAACCACAGACACCCCAGCCCCCCACCCCCAATATCCATCTGCATAATATGTATGTGTGTGAGTGCCCATGTCCATAGATCATTTCCTCATGGCTGATGAAATATGCATAGTAATCTTCATACCAGTTTAAGAGAACTAGGATGTTCAGAAGGGAACCATTGGCTTCCTTAGCATTCCTTAGCAAGGTGAAGGTATCAGCTTACCCCTCTGTAATGATGTTCTATGTAAGTTTGGGTGTATCCAGGCAGCCAGCTCCTAGCTCCAGGCCAAAGGCATCATGCAACCACTCACCTTTTCACTTTTTAAAATTTTGCATTTACAGACAAGGTTTTTATTGCAGAAATGTTTTCTTCTAAATCTAGAATTTTACAGGGACCTTGATGATGCTGTCTTTCATATGTAACCTTCCTGTGTTTTCCCAATATTTCTTGCATCTTTTTTCTTACTGAAAAAGAAAATCATTAAGGAGAAAAGACAGAACAGCTGCACAATGCTTTTGGATTGGAGCTGTTTGTCTGAAAGCACCCTGGTAAGAAAAAAGACAGAAAGCTCAGTAGGAAAATATAAAAGGATCAGAAATAGAAAATGATGATATCTGAACCCCTTTACAATTCTGTGCATGAGGTAAGATGACTGCACAATAAAAAGCCTCACCATGGCATGATCTTTACACCACATTACAATGGGTGCTTCATTACAATGGGTGCTTCAGTGGCAGAATTTTATTTCATTGTTTATGTAACGTGCTAACTGGGAAACACAGGGGACGGTAGGACTTTTCCCCCTGCCTAAACCTGCATAGAATTATGATCCTATACAATAATCTCTGAGACACCCCAAGTCACCCAAAGGTGACTTTCAATTTAAGCCCCTAAAAACAATTGAGGAACTTAAAACATCATAAACAGCAAATGTAAGAACATGAGGAAAATTACTTTTTAAAAATAGAGAGGGACTAGTACTCTCTATTTAAAAGTACTCAAAAACCATGTGAACTGATAAAATGATAATAGCTATCTACAAGTAAACGAAGACAGAGTCAGGCCAATCTCTTCTTGGAGAGAATTCCACAATCAGGGTGCCAGCACAGAGAAGGTCCTGTTCTTATTTCTCAGCAATCTAATCTCTCTTGCTGGTGAGTCATACAGAAGGGTCTCAGAAGTAAATCTTTAACAACAGGCACATTCATATGAGAGGTAGTGGTGTTTCAGATATTCTGGCCCCAAACCTTTTTAGGGATTTATAAATAAGAACAAGTCCCTAGAATGTGCAGCTGATGCAAGACTGACAGAATAGGATCAACAAATGTGCCACAACGCAATCTGGCTACTACACTTGGCAGTTTCCAAACACACTGCCAGGGCAGCATCATGTAGAGCGCATTGTTGTAAACTTAAAGGGAAGTAAGCATGAAATTCCTGTTTAAAGTCTGTACCATCCTAATACTTTTCTAGTGGCTCTGAAGTTTCCCTAGGAACCATGGCAGTTCTTTATGTTTGGATCTTAAACAATGTCTTGTGAAAACCACACATCTCATCCAGCACCATCAAACCAACTCTTGTGTGGAACAGGTTATGACTGAACCCTCTCTACTGACCAGCTTTTCTCAGTCTAGGAAGCATTTTAAATGGACTTCAGTCATATTTGGCCCCGAGCATGGGGTTTCACTAATATCTTTCCTATACAGAACACCCTGCCCATGTTTCTCACTTCTCTGCAACAGCTGAAATCAGTTTCAATTTTCTAAGCAGGCGTTTTAGGAAACTTCCTCAGTTCCTTTTGGTTGTGAGGTGGGGGTGGTGGATTTGACTGTAGAGAAATGGATGTACTCCAGCTCAGCCTGATGCTGGGCTCAGAGCAACTGGAGAATGGAGGGCTAAAGAGTGCTTTTGATTACAACGCTGCTCCTGCTATAGAGAAAGCAGCTGGGTCTTCAAACACAATGTTGCTGCTCTCTCTGAGACTACTGTGCCAGCACTGCAACTGAATGGGGTTTAACAATCTGCATTCATCCTTGTCCTCTGAGCACTGCTTGGTGGCAGGAACCAAATGCTGCTAACACTGCCCTCCTCCCTCTTGGAATCCAAATGCAGCTTGATACTCACAGGCGGGGGCTGGGTAAGGGAAAGGAGGGGGGTGATGATGCATCTCTGGCAAGGTTTGGGCTGTGTCACACCAAGGAAGACAGAAGTGATTGTGCAGAAGTGGCTCCAAAGAGCGAGAACCGAAATGGTCATGCCAGCACACACAAAATCCCTGTTTAAAAACCACCACCACCTCTCAGAAGAGATGGATTTGCAGCATCTTGCATCCTGCTTCTGTGGTTGCAGTAGACTGGCACAGGGTTTCTGTCTCTGCTACTGATGCAAGCACACAGAGCAGGGTGATCCTACTCTTTTCCACTTGTGTGTTTCACAAGAAATTGCACTGGGGGCATTTTAAAAGCTAAAGGGAACATTCACAGGCATTAACTGGCTAGGGACCCCTGAGTCATAAAAGGATAGACAACCGCTTGGCCTCTGCCTCCCTATTACTTTTTGGGGAGGTCTGATCCTGGGTGCATTTCAAAAGCCATTGGAATGCCAGGTTGCAGGAATGGTAGATACAGCAAGATCAATTATGGAAAATATACATGTGTGCAAGGGAGAGAGATTTGGTGGGACAGAAAGATCAAGCTGAACCACACTCTGAGCCAGGATCATGCTCGTGGTGGGTTATCCCACAGACTGAATCAGCTTGGCTGCCAGTTCTAACAGTAGAAGGACATGTGGACACCATATGTGTACCCAGCAGATATTTTGATCTTATTTCCTTCCCCAGACTTCTGTTGGAATACTGATCCCACCCCACAATTGCTTTTGGAACTGCTCCACTTCTCATCATAAGTTATTTATTTGCAAGGAAGTGCAATTGGGTTGTATCCAGTGTAAGACTAACATTTTACCCATTTTCAGTCTGGGTCATTCAGTGGGTCTGCTCAAAGTAGGAATAGCCCTGGATACAATCCTCTGTCAGCAGTGGGGCAGACCCACAAACAAAAGTGGTTGGGATTGTCAAGTTTGCCAGTTTCACCACCCAACATTACAGAAATTCCTAGCAAAATTTGCCAGTAGCCCCAAAAGCTGGAAGGTAGAGAAGTGTGTGTGTGTGTGTGTGTGTCTTACCAGTTCGAAGTTGCTTGACTTTTTTCGTTTGCATTCTTTGTTTGCATCCACGGTTGGAAGACCACTTTTGAAAGGTAGGGTTCATTGTCAGATTTCCTCTAGAGTTTTCCACTCCCTAAAACGTTTGATGCTTGGATACCTTTCCTGCAACTTGAGAGCAGGGAAAATTGGCATTGGAAATGCCCAGATGATTTGATATAGCAGCCTTCAGTTTGTCGTTCCATCACATCCCATACGGAAAAGTTTTGGTAAGGCAGTCGAACCCTTTTAAAGATACTCACTTGGGAGGAGACACACCAGATTCTTGCTTCAGTTGCAGGCACTTTCCTCCACTGGGAGCCAAAGCGGAAAGTTTTAGCCCCCCCTTGACCTTTGATAGTAAGAGGTGGCGCTTGCAGTTGGATCCCCCCTCCCTTTCCGAGAACTCTTCATTCAAGGGTTTTTGTCAATGGGCAGCGTGTCCTGCCGATCTTCTCTGTCGCGGGCTTTACTGACGTCACTAACGAGGCGATAAATATCTGTTGATATAATTGGATGTGAGATTCTGGGTTGTGATAGCAGGACGTTGCCCATTGCTGCTCTGAAACGGCCCCCATGATTTATTCAGCAGAGGATCGGGGCACGCAAGCGAGCTGTCAAGAAATCGTCAGCTTATTAGGCGAGGGCTGCGTGATTCCACAACAGGGTCTAACCTATAAAAATCACGCACCTCGGCTGTAATTAGGAGGCAATCTGATCACTGAAGGACTCCAGGAGACAAGCTCCGTTAGATACACATCCGGAGAGGAAGAGGGAAAAAGGCGAACCCGACCACTCGCTGACTCCACCTGTCCGACTTAACTCTACTGCATCTCCAAGGTATGGAATGATCCGGATTAACCACTCACTGGAGGCACGGAGCAAACTTCACTTGACAAAGTGCTGCTATACTTTGGATAAGTGTGTGCTTCGAGTGTAGTTGGTGTGTGTGTGTGTGTGTGTGTGTGTGTGTGTGTGTGAGAGAGAGAGAGAGAGAGAGAGAGAGAGAGAGAGAGAGAGAGGGAAACAGACTGTCCGTGCACACGCAGTCTAAGAAAAGAAAGCCATCCTAGGATTTTGGTGAAGGATTTGTGTAAGGGGAACAAAGTGGCCATTCTAGGGTTCCTCTGGAAACTCTAAAAGGGCTTTATGTTTGTTAAAGCAGCAGAAGCAGAGGAAGAAGAATTGTATCGTTTGCAATGGTTGAAATATCAGGGTTTCCTATGCTAAGGTTAAGGATCAGCTGAACAGGACTTTGAAGGATCAGCTGAACAGGACTTTGATCTATCTGCAGCAACCCCCATAAATACAGCTATCGGATGCTCCTAGACCATGATGTTCTTTCTTAATAAGGACAGGATTCAGGCCTTCCTTGACCCAAAGAGAGGGTGCAAACTCCCCCTTCCGCATGTGATCATGAAGGATTTGGCTGGGTTGATTGTGTCAGGTTGTACGCGAGAAAGACACGGCTGACTGTGCCATAATAAAGGGGGGCGATTCCCCGGAGGGAAATAGCGACGGGTATCAGCACCACGGGCAGCGACAAGCGCGGACCAACCTCTCTGCCTTTTCCTGCGCTTCTCGCTCACGAAGCCCTCTAAACAGCCAGTTATGCCCACTCCCTTCCCCTCTTGCCACTTTTGCAGATTTGGGGCGCTGCACCATGAAGATCCAGCTGCTAGTCTCTACAGGGATTCTGCTGGTGGCCCTCCTGCCCTGCCATGAGTGTAGAGCCCTGAGCAAGAGCTCCTCAGCAGCTCCCGCCGCCGACAGCGCACTGCAGCGGCCAGATTTTGCAGAGCATCCACAGCCCATCTTGCTTCGCATGGGGGAAGAGTATTTTCTGCGCCTGGGCAACCTGCACAAGAATCCTGCCACCTCCTTCGCCTCAGCGTCCAGCACCAGCAACAGCCACCTCGCAGCATCGGCATCGGCTGGTAACTTTTTCCGAGCAGCGGTTCAGCAGCTGCAGCATCTTCAAGAGCGCTCGCTAGAGGGCGCCGCCGACTCCTGGGAAGGCGAAGACGGCGGCGCCCACCTGGAAGCCGAGAAACGGTCCGAGGAGCCGCCGATCTCCTTGGACCTGACTTTCCATCTCCTCCGGGAAGTCTTGGAAATGGCCCGAGCGGAACAGTTGGCTCAGCAGGCTCACAGCAACAGGAAACTGATGGAAATCATCGGGAAATGAAGCGCGCTCGTGCCCTCCGCCTGTCCCCCTACCAAAGAGATCCTCCGGTTAGCACGCCCTTTCGACATGTATTTAAACAGACCCCTCGTGCGCAGCTCGTCCTCGTCCAGCCCCTTCTTCTTTCTTTTATTCGAGCAGCTTGATCTCCGTAGAGAGTGTCTGAGGCACACCGCCTACTACAGCCCTTGAGTAGCATGTCCCGCGTTGCACCCAGGTGTTGTTCGTAACTTCTCCCGCCTTCCTTTTCTTTTCCTCTCCCTCGCCCGTCCCCCCATTCCCTGTCGAGATTAAAATTCAACTCTTCTGGGGCAGGTTCCAGGGGTTCAGCCACTGGACGCAGTCGAATGAGAGCCCCTTGTCTTCTGGGGTGGTGAGTGGGGAAGAGGGTTGTGGGGGCGTCTCTGTATGTAGCTATTTCGAACCCACTCTTCTTTACTTCCATGTTTCTTCTTTGTAAACATTTTCACAAATAAAACATATTTTCAGCGCTCGGTCAATTTGGTTGTGTAAGAGAACGTTTAATATCTATATTTTTTAATAAAAGCTGCAAAGGAACGATGGCTTCCTACACTTCCTTGCCTGTCGGACCTGTCTAGAACCAGAGCGGGAGGGGCAGAGACGTTTTCTTGCTGGTGGATACGGAGAAAGACACACAGGACCCGGGCATAAGTTAGACAGAAGCACGTCCCGCCCGTCAGTATGCAACTTGCATTGGTCTGCTTGGCTGCAAATGGCGACTGTTATAGTTTGAGATGTCTGGAAAGGCATCAACTTGAAAAGGAGGCACAGATTACTTGCTCGCAGCACTACATTTGAGCTAGAATTTGATAGGAAACTCTTGGGACATGAGACAATACAAAAGCGAATGCATGTGCAGAAGGCATTTATTGGTCCCAATGAACTAGTTCACACCTGGCAAGCATTCCATGTTTGAGAAAGTGACCAGGTCTAATTGACAGCCTATGCACCCTTTTGCTTCAGGGAGTAAACTGAACTGCCTAGCAAAGCGCTTAAAAGACTTAGTTCTGGGCGCAGTGGAAATCGTTCCTTACAACCCACTTCAAGCTACATTTACCCAGAAGTAATCTCAGCCAATTTCATTGGGCTAACTCCCAGGTAAGTATGTCTAGGGTTGCAGTCCTTCTCTACTACTGTCACCATGGAGAGAGAGAACGATGTGTATGCATGTACACACACATTGGTGAAGGCTCCAGTGACTTCTCAAAACTGTCCTTATAAACCCAGCTAATTAACCACAAGTCCAAAGAAATTATTTTTGAGCTGATATTTGTTATTCAAACAGCCACTCCTCTTCCTTGTCACTTCTGCCTTTCTTTGCAATACAGGAATGCATTCACACCTTTCCATGATTTTCTTTCATCCCAGATCCGAAATTACATATACCTGGATATTCCCTCAAACAAACACAAAATCCATTCCTATTAACAACAGCAAAATCACAACTGCTTTCTGCCTTTGTTTTGTGTCTTCAAGCCTGATGTGAAAAAACAGTTTGATTTTGTTGAAATTGTTCCTACAATGTTTGGGATGAAAAAAGAAAGCGTTCTGGGTAATATTGTCTGAATTAGTTCTCTTCTCACTTCATGCTGCACCACCACACTAGCTGGAGACTGTAGGAATAGTAAGCCAACAAATCTGGAGGGCTTCTGGTTGCCAAAATAAAGAAGGGTCTGCAGAGTTTAGACTGATGAAAGAAATTGACTTAATGTGCAGGTGGGTGTTTTTCAGACAAAATGTTAAATAGAGCCCAGTGGAGATGACATGGATGTTTGCATGAGCTCTTATGGATTTTTTTCAGGTAAGATACTTCCCCAAATGTTTATGCAATTGAATTCACGATTCATAGGCTCAAGACCACTTTTTGATTCACATTTGGATGAGGGGAAATAATAAGAAGAAAACCCAACCCACTCTTTCAGGATGAGGAGTGAATTTTGGTGTGACTAATTATGAAATCACTGATCAGTTGCTATTTTGGATTAATTGAACCTGAATTAATAGATTTCACTTTGCAATAATACTTAATTTGGTCCTTAGTGACCTGTGCTGCCTCACGATACTGATAAACATATTCCGTCACTCTTCCATCCTGGCATTTGAGTCAGAATGCTATAGTGGTTCGAGCAGGCTGCTCCAAGCAGGTGCCCTCTGGATGTTTCACAGCACAACCTATCATCCCTGATTATTAATCATTCTGGCTGGGGCTGATAGGAGTTGTGTTCCAGAACATCGGAAGAGCATCACCTTGGGTAAGGCTGGGATAAAGGGATAGAATAGAATCAGAGATACTTGGGTTCAAATTCCCCCAACACCCATGAAGCAATTTGGGTGAGTCTCAGCTCAACAGGGTTGCTGGGCTGTTATGGGGATAAAATGGGGCAGGATAAGAACCCTGTCCTCTTGGGAAAGCAGTGGGATAACAATGAATTACACAGATATTTCTGGAGCTTTTCAAGCATTATGGGTGGACAGTGATCACTTGGCCTAAGTGTGCCATCAAGGGCATCAACAGCTGATCTGTTAGATCCAGCAGGCATGCGGCGATGCAATCCTACATGATACATCAGTGCTGGGGATTATGGGAACTATAATCCAATTATAGTCCAGCTGGAGGGTGCCAGCTAGAGAAAGGCTGCTGTACTTGTCTGCTCAGGGATAAGTCCCATAGAAACCAAGTTGGGGTTGCTTCCTGTTGAATGGGTGCAGGACTGCTGCTTTAAACCTTCACAAGTCATCCTCAAAGAGTCCAGATCTACCTTCTGTATCACCCAGTTTTTGCTTTGTTTTGTCTTGGAACCTCACCATGGCAAATCTTATCCTGGAGTATCAACTGCCTCCACTGTTTGCAGGTGGGACTTCGGAGACCTCATCTACTCCTAATTCACAGAGCTTGCTCCAACATTGGTGGAATAATGATAGGGCAGTCTATTAAAGAAGTCGAGGAAAAGGATGGGTCATGCCGGAAAATATCTGGTGGCTGAGGTGGTTTTAAAAATAGTTCCATTCCCCTTAGGGTAGGGCTGAAGAATGCGAGCTTTCCCATGGTCAAGGATTACGTATGATTCCTGTCAGCCAGGCCACCATGGTCAATAAGAAGGGATGCATGGAATTAAAATCCAGCAATATCTTGAGGGCCAGAAATGTTTCTTATACTTGGATTCAGGTTACCAATGAGGAGAGAGCTCCTGGACCTTCAGTGGCTATATAGAAGAAAGGAGTTCTGCTGGCTTGTGCATTATCATCTCCACCTGCAAGAATTCTGTTCTTCTACAAGGAAAGGTACAGGAGGACCACTCTCTTTGACATCTAGCATCCCACTGCATCATTGGACCCCCAGACTCCAGCTTGCTTTCCCTTTATGCTAATTTCTCCTTCCTTTGCATTGGCTTTTTGTTACTGTCACCAGTAAATTTATATTCCCTCAGTGTAAGCCACTAACAAAAATTAGGGGCTCTGCCTATCTATCCATAATTACACTTATGAGGGTACGCTGAACCCTTGCTTGCTTGTAAGAGTTCTTTGCCTTCCCAAGTGAGATCCCCTACTTGTGAAATGTTAAGGAATTTTGTTAAGCACGTTCTTTCATTCCTTTAATTTTATTTGGTGTAGGGGGGGTAGTTCTTCAGTTTGATGTGTTAAAGTAGGCCAGACACACTGAATGTTGGAAAGGTGGTTAATCAAGCGTTTAAACAAAACAAGAACATAAGATGTGCAATGTTAGTCTTACAGTGGAATGGATAGTGGCAGAAGCACAGTAAAACTGTAAGATATGAGGCCTCATTCATGCAGGCTAACTGTTCCCTCTCACGAATTAATGTGCAATTCTTAAAAACAAACAAACAAGCCTTAAATGCATGTTTACTTTGAAATCTAGCAACAAGCTTCCAAAACTATGGAGTCAATCAATATCAGTGGAGGAGGCTGTGTGGGTGGGTAGAGGTGAGTGCAGGAAGCTGCACGTCAGCCACAGCTCTAAGCACAAACTTCCTCGTTTTTAGCTTCTTTTTTATGAAGGGGTGCAAACCCCCTTTCAGTTTGAGGGCTGAATCTCAGTTTCAAGAACCTTTCAGGGCCCATATTTCTGTGGTGGTGGGCAGAAAAATACCAGCAGAGGCATAAAGATATGAGAGCAGCAGGAGGAGGAGTGTTATGTAAGCTGCTCTGAGTTCTTTATAAGGGGAAAAAAGGTGGGATATAAATTTACTAAACCAGGAAGCAAACCTCCACACAAGTGGAGGCTAGCTTGCAGACATCATTTTACTGTCCCACCCTGTTTTCCTGCAGTCCCCTGCTAGTGCCTTGTCAGCACTATATTGCGCTGCCTACTGAAACCTAAGCAGCAGCCCTGCATTACATGGCCACCTCCAAACAAAGCCCTGCTTCTGGTGAATTCAGGGCAAGGTGAGCAGGTGCAAGTGAGGCCCAAGACTCTGAAGCTGGAACTATGCTTCCTATTGCACCAAACTGGCCAGTGGGTCATTTTGGGGTCTCTTCCAAATTTAGCTTATATCTTCTGATGGCCAGAGTTACTTTCTCTGTTTATGCATTCCAGTGCTGGGATTGGCTGATGAGTTATTGGATTAATACATGCCTGGAACTGGAGTTAGGCAGAAGTATAGGCATGAAACAGGGAATATAGGATTGTTGAACAGGAGGAAAAACAAGTTGAACAAGACAAAGAAGTCTTTTATACTGCTTTGCTCTAATTTAGTCTTCCCCAACCTGGTGCTCTGCAGATGTGTTGGGCCAGAGCTATTGGCATTCCTGATTACGGGCTGGGGCTGGTGGGAGATGAAGTTCAACACATCTGATTAGGGAAGTAGACTGTAATTTATATTTCATCCCATGCAACCATGGGCTGTACACATGAAACTGCCGCTGCATTCACCCACTAAAGCCTCGGTGCTGCACTGGAAGTCCACAGATAAAGTTTAGAAAGATGGAAGCCTGTAAAAGTGTGACACACATCCAATCAGTTT